CGCAAATATCTGTTTATACCAGCCACAAGCACACCTTCAGAACGCATCATAATATTGTTAACCACCTGCGCACACTACTAAAACCGGATAAAGTAAAAATGCTTGTTTTCCTGTCAAAGAATTTATAAGTTTTGTTTGGAGGGAATATTTTACCTTCTTTTCTTCTTTGTTTCAGCATTAATATAGCTACTTTTTTGGATTATTCATTCATTTATTTATTTATTTGAGATGCGCCGAATCGCACAAAAGACTAAACTTTACATTGGGGATTTTTTTTTATGTTCGCTGGAAGAGACATTTTGATTTTTAACTTATCTGTTGTTTGGTCGAGTGTGTAAGACAGATAAACACTGGAACGGCCTGTAAACACAGTTATAATGGAAAAAAAGAGGCCAGTTTCTCTTTGTTTCCTTCCCAACATTGTGTTTTTTAATTAAATAAAATGCTTTTCTTTCCTGAACATAGGCGACTGCGGTTCTTTCTTTCTGTTATGAGTTTGAGTAAATGAATCGCTGCTGCATTTGGGTGCACTCTGAGGAGGGTGCATTTGTTCGCAGTTAAAGGAGGGTGCTGTTAAAACAACGCTATTATTTATTTCTGTTGACTGCCTGTTAGCTTTAACCGACACTATTAGCAAACTTACTCATGGACAAATAAATAAATAAATGGCCCTTGTAAAAACTTTCGACAATAGGCTGCCCTGTTGTCAGTAGTCTATATATTTGTCCAATCGCCCAACCTTACCAGAGATCAGCACAATCATGATCCATCATGTCAAATGCAGCAGTCAGATTCAACTAAACAAGCAATGCATATTTACCACAGTCGATCGCCAACAAAATGTCATCACAGAAAGCAGATATTAGTTTTTTTTGTCTCATATTAAACACATCTGTTTAAACTGCAGCACGTGTTAACAGGCCAATCACAGCTCTCACTGGCTCTCTCTAATTTTCATGTTGCTGTTGCTGAACAAAGCGAAATTCATACTAGTACTACAGTGTGCCAGGACCACAGAAGTTAAAGACAGTAACGAAAAAGGTGGATGAGGTGAAGTGAAAGCCTTAAATTTATGAGAAAAGAAAAATTATTATTATTATTGTTTAGCAGATAGACTTATGGTATCAGTTTGAAAGTTCTAGGTGACCTTGTTCTCAGGTTATCACATTTACAAACTTGGGTGTTCATGCTGCCCGCCACCTGAATGATTTTCACATCATGTTATGCACATGTGCTAAAGACTTGTCCACCATATAGGACACATAGCAACCAACAGTTGCTGTGCAATTGACAGTGTTTACACGCAAATCCATCACTTCCATTCAAACTATGAAGCAGCAATGTTTTAGCAAACAAAGAAATCACAGGAAAGTAACCAGCAACCTTTCACATCCTGTGGTTGCTAGACGGTCTCAGACCAGTCTGTAGATCTGTGAGATTGAGACGTTTTTATCCTGATCCTAACCACGTGTCAGGTTAACCTGACGTGGTTATTGACTACCTGTCTATAAGACCTCAGAAGAAGCCTTTGTAAAACAACGTGGTTTTTGTACATTTGCGCCATGGCATTTCTAAGACTTGCTTATTAGCCAGTGAGAAAATAGTTTCAGTCAGACTTGCCTCTCTCTCCATCTCACATATGGTTTCTTGAGTACAGAGACCTGATCTGAAGGCTTGAGAGCAGGTTGTGCCAAACCAGCAGCCGCCATCATGGTACCTACTGTCTCTGCTCTGCAGTCTGCCTGTATAAAGCTATGATGTTCCTCTCAGTATGTGCAGTAGGAGAATAGCCAGCAAGGAAAAAAAGCTTTCAAACTTTCTGTTTTGTTTTGTTTTAATAAAGTTGGTGTTTTAAAGTAGCTGCCCAGTGGCATTACAAGGATTGGTTCCTGAGCAGTCAGACTTTGAGGTTTTCTACGAGATAATGACTCTTTTAAACAGTGTCTTTGTTTGTCTCTCTGCCATGTGTGAGGCTCATAAGCCGCCCTTTTCCTTTTACTCTCCGGTGCTGTTCCTGAACTACAGTAATGCTCTTGTGATGTCACCTCTTCCCGATCAATATCGATTTCTGATTGAACAGCTCCGGTCCTGTTTGCCCGGAGAGCCACGGCAGCAGACACGGAGCTCACCTGTCCGGTTCAGCAGGACCACCGGGCTCAGCAGCGCCTCCAGCCGCCGCAGCTGTCGTCGGGACTCCTCCACCTCCCGCTCCAGCAGCCCGACGATCTGCTGCGCTGCCGCTTCGAGCCGCTCGGCGAGCAGCGGCCGCAGCAGACGGCCGGGTCCTCTGGAGGACCCAGAACCGCCGCTCTGCGTCTCCAACGCGCCCAGAACCTCCTCCGCAACCCGTGCCAACAGCTCTGACACAGATTCCGCCAAAGCCCGGAGTCCGCAGCAGCTTGGCGGGGATTCTGTCAGAGACATCCCGCATCAGAGCTCTGCGGCCACAGGAAGGTAAACAGCCCGAAAACCCGCTATGCTCAGTATCGACGAGCCAGAGCACGACCCTGCTGGAGTGGAGGACGCATCGCTTCCCGAGAGAGACCGAGTGTTTTTATATTAAGGCGGATAAATGTACCAGCTGAGCTGCTTTAAGTGTGAACCCTGTGTTTAACTGTCTAGACCTCTGCTGTCAATCAAAATTTGGGTAAAAGTACCAAAGCAAGAAACAAACGCACAGGAGATGAGAAGTTAGATCCGAAATATCAGCCTGTATTTGGTTTCTTATACTTGTTGTTCTACTATATCTGTTGTATTTATTTTTCTGTTTTCTTTCTGATTTGTTTAAAAATAAAATTTTATACACACACACACCAGTTTAGAGGTATAGAAAAATGAATTTTCAGCTGCGAGGACTTCAGTTTCCTCTTCTGGTTATAAAATCTGCAGCTCATCATCAAAGCCACTTCTTTACCTGAAGGTCCGTTTTGTGTGTTAAACGTGAACAGAAAGCATAATCAAGTCTTCCTTTCCTGTCACAATGATGGATTTAAAGCCAAACCAAAGAGGAAAACTTTATCCCTGCGGGGGGATAACTCGGGTTATGAGGTCAGAGTAATAGTAACAGTAATGTGATTACTCTGAGACACTCACTGTTATGTTCTCGCATTAATATGTTCCTCAGAACAGAAGATGAAGGTCGTCTGAGTGAAGGAAGCAACTGTACAGACAGGAAGTACTCTGAGCTAGTATTTTGGAAACTCCAATATTTAAACCACACTATAGAACCACTGGAGGGCTCCACTCACACCCAGTTCTCAGGAAGTGTTGTTGCGGTGTTTTGGAGGGAAAAGTATTCAGTTGTGTGGTGATGAGTAATAAACGAGGAGTGTTAATCGAGAGCTCTCGTGTCGTCTGTTTACCTCCACAATTGGAATAATTTCATCTTTAAATACTCTGAGGCCATCACCTTGGTTGAAACATTAACACACCACACATCAGCTCACTCTCCGTCTCTCACACACACACACACACACACACACACACAGAGAGAGAGAGCTTGATGTGAAACAGCATCTGTGTTTAAACAGATGCACACAGACTCAGTGTGACACTTAGTTTCAGCTTTGAGCTGCATGTTTTTCAGTCTCTCTCCCTTTTATCAGACTGAAGAGTCAAGCGTCACCTGCTCACAGAGAGAAGCTGCACATGCTCTCTCTCAGTGGCCTGTAAACAGTTTGCTGACCGAGGCCAGGCCTCCTCTTTGCGAACCTCAACTAGAACCAATCCACAGAAGAAAGGTCAGCACTGTACACTGACTCTTCACACACATTTATTTGACAATAAAAGTCTTGAAACTTATTAAATCCTTTTGATTACTCATCACTCCAACATAAAATTGTTTTTTTTAAATCAGCTAAAAAAAAAAACTTGAAGCCACAAAGACTGTGGATCAGTTTGAACAAACTCAGGTCACCTGTGGTGTTCTTCAAACATCATGTTTTTCCTTCTTCAAATGACTTCAGAGCGACAGCACTGGGTTCCCTTCAGACTCTCCTGACCTGCTGGAGGCATGAACGTGCTGCAAAGATTTTACTGATGCAACAAAGTCAATGTCAAATCAATGTTACCACCTCAGTGCTCTGCTCAGCTCCACAGGTAACTGAAGGGAAACGGCACTCTGTTTACATACTCCCTGTTCTCTTTTTTAAAATCACAATGAGTCGACCTTTAAAAATAGAAACCATCAATATCATACGCATAAATGGATCTTTTCAGCTTTCAGTTTCACATATCCCTAAATTTCATTTACAGGACTTTTTGGAAATAAGATTGTATAAAAACATACAAAATTTAAAATGCTCAGTTCTCTCCAAAGTTAAAGCAGATTGTCGTGAGTTTAGGGCAATGGTTAAATATTGAAGGTTAAACCAAAAATCATAACTAGAATTGATCCCACTCAGGGCTGTGGGGCTGGAGCCTATCCCAGCTGCCACAGGGTGAGACGAAGGGCACACCTGAACAGGTAACCAGGCTGACGAAAGGCTAACGCAGAGAGACAGACAACCTTCACACTCATGTCAGCGGACTCTCCACCAGCTGCTGAAGCAAAAACCAATTGTGGCACCTTGAGGGAAAATACATGTCACTTAAAGGAGGAGGAGTGCTCAGAGCTGAGAAGATTCAAATGGAAGATATCTGACATTTTATTTGAATCAACTAATCTTTAAACTGACTGTTACAGATTTCATGGAGGAAAAAAAGCGGGGGAAAAAGAAGGTGAAAACACAAATTGGGAAAAATATAGCTACAACATTTGTGTATACGGAATTCCTGAAGACACTGTAAGAGACAAACTATGGGAGTTTTTTTAGAAACATTTATTAAGTTGGAGTTGTCCCTAAGTGATACGGAGCTGTGAATGCAAAGAAGTCACAGAGAGAGACCCAAACCACAGAATCCAGAGAAATTCAGTTTCTCTGTCGATTTGACTTTCCCTGGGTAAGGCTTGACACTTTAGTTTAACAACACTAAATATAATTTAGTGTAACCATTTCAGTTTAATTTTACACTGGAAGTTACAAATGTCTGCCTTAGAGAACTTGGAGAATAAGCCACTGTTCTGGGAGCTTGTTTTCCTGTTTATTTTGACTACTAACTACTTTGTAATACTTTGATTATTCATAACCTTACCGAGGAGAGGCCCCTCGTAATGCAAGAGCTTTCCTCTCCAAAAGGTTTTTGGGAAATTCTGATTTTGAGTAGAAACCACCATTCTCTCATTTGTTCTATTTCAGTTAAAGTTCCAAGTTTTGTCAGATGTGTGTTGTGTTTTTTGTCACCCAAGGTTTACAATGTAAATGCTGTTTCTTATACAAGGCTTGTCCTTTCAGCAGTATAGTTTACTAACACTTAATGTCAATGAGTTACAAAACCCAGTTAAAAGATGTAAACTTATTGCTGGAATGAAAGAGGAAAACCATCATATAATTCTTTGGCAGGAGACCCGCTTTACCAAAAAAGGGCACAAAAACCTAAACACCCCAGATTGAAATACATATTTTATTTATCAAACACAAAGGGACCCAATAGGGGAGTTGCAATTCTAATTTTAAAACAAATTCCTTCCAGCTGAGGAAGGACTATATAATTTGGTAAAAGGAATTCTAGACTCTAAAGTAGTGATGCTACTTAACATCTACAGACCTCCTGGACAACACAAATCATTATTAAGGACCATGTTTGATTTAGTTGCTACAGAGACATCAGGTGTTCTGATATGTGGTGGAGACTGAAATGTACAATTACACCCTACCTTGGACTCCTCAAACTTATCAAAAAATCAAAATCCTGAATCTCTTAGTACTAAAACCATTTGAATTCAAAGAACAGATCATAGGTTGTTTCTGTACAGTCGTCCAACTGCCCAGATAAAAAATAATGGAAATCTGTCTACGACTATTACGCTTGAGAGAGGATGTCTTCAGGGGAGTCCCCTAAGCTTTACTTTGTCTGTACTCTTTATAGAGCCCTGGTTCAATAGATTAGAGAAGACAAGGAAATCGAGGAGTGGAGTATAAAATATGCTTATATACAGATGATGTACTTTTGACCTTGTCCAATCCGGACTCTAGCCTCCCTAAATTGATGACTCGTCTTAAACAATTTAGCCAATACTCAGGTTGCAAATTAAATATGCAAAAAACCCAAACTCTAACTTACATCTATGTACCAAAAGAAAACATACGTAAAATGCATAATTTCAAATGGAATACTAACAAACTGACGTATCTTGGAGTCACCACAACAAAGGATTTGACAGAAATTTATAACTTAAATTATAACGCTATCACACAAAATATAAAAGTGGACTCAGGAAGATGGGATTGACAGTTTGTCTGTATGGCAGAATAGAAATTGTGACCATTTTCTTCTTCACAATTTTACCACGTGTGTTGTTTCTTTTTCAGTCCCTGCCAATTGAAATTCCCCCGAAACAACTTAATGAGTGGAAAAGAATGATCTCACAACTTATTTGGCGAGATAAAAACCCAGGGTACAACTTGAGACTCTACAGTTACCAAAAGACCAAGGTAGATTGTCTTTACCTAACCTGGAGGACAATTACGATTACAGCTTCAGTACTTATCCAATTAGACAGGTTTTACAGTCTTTATTGGGTGATATAAGCCTACAGGAAAAACACGTGTACACTAAAAATAATAAAGTTGTAAGGGAGTGGGTGCCTCATTGACATATTTGTGAACACCTAGAAAGGTAAAGTACATAAAAGGCTGATCTCTAAACTGTATTCATATTTACAATCATTCAGGAAGCACTACACCCAATATGTTAAGACCCAATGGGAGAAAGAAGACAAACAATAGCACGTCAAGGTCCCCTCTTTGGAGGGAATATTCCTGGAAGAATAACATTAGATTTTTCATTAACCCTAAAAATAAACCACTTCAGAATAGCAAACCTGAATCTAGTAACTGCTGGGGACAATGTGGCAACACCATGGCTGATCACTATCACATATTCTGGACCTGTCCTGCTATTAAATCTTATTGGAGAGAGAAAACGACGATTAAAAAGGTAAAAGATATTTTTGAAATGGAAAACATTTACCTTTTCTCTAAGACTCTGTAAAGAAAAATTTCAAAGATATGGTCATACAAAATGATTTTCCCATCTCAATCTCTTTTCATTTAACTTTATTTCCTGGACCTTGTTTAGTGCTCAACTGGACTTTTCTCCATTTTGTGCTGAATGGGCACTTGTGTAGACACATACAACAATATGCAAAGTTTGTATGTATGTAGGTATTTGAAGGTGTGTGTATATGTATGTAGGTGTGGGTGTATGTGTACAGTATGTGTGTATATATGCGCATGTATAAAGGAGCAAGATGCACTGTGTATTTCTAAAGAAAAAAAATAAAGTTAAAAAAAAAGCAGTGGAATTGAGCAAAGGTAGGGGCAAAGATTAAATGGTGGAAGTTGTAGAAAAATAAATGTTGTACAGAGTTCACAGAGGAGGTGAAACAAGCTTTCGGTGGCAGGTAGAGTTAACAGAGGACTGAGTAGTGAGAGGAAAGAGGACAAGGAGACTTAGTGGAGGAATGAGGAACTACAGGAGAGGTTAGCAAAGAAAAAGTGGTATGATTGAAAAAAGTAGACAGAAGTACACAGGCTCAGTGGACAGCAATGGTAGAAAAAGCTTATTGTGACCTGTATGTGAGACTGGACACCAAGGAAGGAGACTGGTTAGACATAGAGACCAAGCTGTTTCAAGGACTGAAATGTAATAACAAGTGAAGAGGGTGTGATGTGATGTAAGCAGTACATGGAGGAGATGATGAATGAAGAAAATGAGAAAGGATGACAGTTAGTGAATGTGATGTTTGCCTTGAGAGTGTTGATGAGGAAGTTTAAAGAAGGTCAAAAGGAGCTTCACTGTGTCTTTGTGGGTCAGAGGGATCAGATGATTAGCAGTTCAGAGAGGAACTGCGGTAAGTAAGGAGTGGCAGAGAAGTCTGTGATGGTGGTGCAGGACATGTATGAGGACAGAGACAGTGGTGAATTGAGTGGTAGGAGTGACAGGGCGGTTAAAGGTGGAGGTGGGATTACATCAGGTATGCTCTGAGCCCCTCTTGTTTACTGTGGTGAAGGACCAACTGAGAGATAAGGTCTGTGGACTGCGATGTTTACAGATGACGCCGTGATCTGTAGTGAGTAGGTGGAGGAGAGCATGGAGAGGTGGAGGTATGCTCTGGAGAAAAGAGGAGCCAGTAAGAGGAAAACAAAATGCATGTGTGTGAATGAGAGGGAGACAGGTGGACACGACAGGAGTACAGTCAGTGAAGGTGGTACCACTACCATTATGAAAACATGACCAACTTTATAGAGATTCCATTTTGTCAGAAACTTCCTGTCAACTGTAGTGTTCTGTGCTATTATGAATAATGGGGAGGTGCTGTGGTACTACAACTGCGTGAATCCTGAGTAGAAGCTGTCCTCTGCTGTCCTCTGCGGCTCTGGCCTCGAGTCCTCCTGGCCAGCTAAATGCACTTTAAGGTGCCCATTAAGCGAGCGTTTGGCCTGGAAACTTTTCCCACAGACCCTACAGGTGTATGGTTTCTCCCCGGTATGGATCAGCATATGTCTCTTAAGGTCCACATCCTGCATGAAGCCCTTCCCACATACCTGGCACAGGAAGCGGCGCTCCTTGTTGTGAAAGCGGACATGTGTGTCCAGGGTCTGTTTTTGGGTGAAGCCTTTCCCACACAGGCTGCAGGAGAACGCCCGCTCACCCGTGTGGATTTTCAGGTGTGTCTTCAGGTTGCCACTCTGGTTGAAAGCCTTCCCACAGAAGCTGCAGCTGTAGGGTTTCTCCCCAGTGTGGATCCTCAGGTGCATCTGCAGCGCCGATTGGCCCGGGAAGCACTTCCCGCAGATGCTGCAGGTGCCGCCAGCCTCACGGTGAGAGCGCAGGTGGGCATCAAGGCTGTCAGAGGACTCATAATGGTGTCCGCAGAGTCCACAGCGGCAGTCCGTGTCTTGCAGGTGAGTCGCCACGTGTTTCACTAACAGGGTCTTCCTATCAAAGGTGTCACTGCAAACTTTGCAGCGGAAGGACGGTATTGAAGTGCGGTTCGTCTTAATTCTGAGGCTGTCGTTCTTCTGATGAGTTGCCATGTGTTGCCGCAGACTGTTCCGTTTACTGAACTCCTCACCGCAGACACTGCAGGTGTGCACTGCTGAGCTCCTGTGCTCCTCCATGTGGCGCTCCAAAGAGCTCATGTGACAGAAGGCACGGCTGCACTCTTTACATTTGAAGGCTTTCTCTTCTGCGTGGACACGCAGGTGTGACGTCAGGTTGCCCTTCTGACTGAACTTCTTGCCGCAGAAGTTGCAGCTGTACGGTTTCTCTCCTGTGTGCAACCGCACATGCATTTCCTGGGCCAGGATGGAATGGAAGGTTTTCCCGCAGAAGGAGCATGTTTTGCTTTTGTCCTGGTGCATCTGCAGATGAGCCTTCAGGCCATCGGCAGAGTCCAGGCACTCCCCACAGTAACCGCAGCGAAAGTCTGGGTTGCTGGCACAGGTGTGCAGGACGTGTTTGAGTAGGAAGCCTTTCCCTTGCAGTGCCCGGTCACACACGTGGCAGCTGAAGCTCTGAGCCAGACTCGAGCGCCTCCGGTTGCTTGTGACACTGAGCGCCGGACGGCTACGCTTCTTCCTCCTCAGAGGTCTCAGAGTCCGCCTATGTTCAATCCAGTCACTGTCCGGGTCTCCATCGCTGCTCTCAGAGAGGGGTGGGTGGTAGGATGGCGAGGGCAAAGGAGGTGATGATGGACAGGAAACGTTGCTGCCATCGTGCTCCTCTGGATCGGAGGGATCCTGGTCTGTGGGGTCGTTTGGGTCATACAGCGTCACTGACTGCAGAGGATCTGAGGAGGAAAACAACAGTTGTCAGCATCAATCAGATCAGAACACCTGAGATGCACCTAGTGATGGCTGAGTTATTGCAACTAGGGCTGGGCAATATGAAGAAAATCTGATATCACGTTTTTTGGGGGGGGCTACATCACGATACACAATATATATCATGATATGTTAAATAACCTCCAAAAACAAATGCTATTTTCATATAGTGCCCAAAATTGCACTGGTATACTCATTCAAATCGACAATTAAATTTTTTTATTTTTGTATTTTTTTTTACTTAAACACAAAAAAATCTGAATAAATTGAAATATTTTAATTTAACCAGTCAAAGGTTTTTCACAAGTGACTATACACATTACAGTATAGGTATGTCCCAATTCATAGGCCGCATAGGACCTGGCCTTCGCGGTCTATGTGGGCCAGGTCCTTTAAAAGCCAAGTAAGCCAGAAGTGCGAGGCTGTTAAATGGGATGGTCTAGCTTTCAGCTTTGCGTCACCAGCTGTCGCGGTGGAGTTTAATAAACCCAGCCGTCTGCTCCTCGCTCGCTAATATATAACATGACATTGGAGTAAATTCTCGACCATCTCACATTTCTGTTTAACCATTTCCTGTTTGACGTTTATTCAGCTGTGTGAAAACTATAACTTTAATCTCAGCTAAACCGATTTACTCAGAAACAAATAAAACACTGAAAAAAGGACCCGACCCATCCTTAAAATCTGGGGAAATGAAGGACACAGTTGTTGGCCGCATTTGGAGCAGCCTTCAAATTATGACAGCCTTCGTCGCCTGGCCGTGAGGTAATTGGCCTTCAAATGCGGCTTCTGAAGGATGCGGCCTACGAATTGGGACATACTTTATGTCTCTTTTTTTTTTTTTTTTTTTTTATAATGACATCAGAAACAGCAGTATGCGACATTACGTGATGGCAGAGCTTCAGTTCATCCTTT